TGTCATGGCCAAGGCAATCTTTTCCACCTGGTACTCCTGCTTCCAAACCATCTCGTTCATGGGACACATTTTAATCAAGGATCCCTCCTTAGATTCAGTTACGTTCATGGCGAGTTTTCCGAAGTTTGCCTTGCGGTACCTTTTTGAGACGAAACCAAACCTTTTTTTCTGAGAAATATGCGTTACAAGCCGGGTCGTAACGTGGGAAATTAACGGGTGTCATGAAAAATGAACATATCCAAACTTTTAATGAAGTACTGGCTTCAATAAGCAATATTTCAAAGAGTGTAAAGTGACATTTCGCAAAGTAACGTGAAGTACCACTTCACAAACTACGTATTAACATTTCGCGAAGTAATTTAAAGTACCATTTCGCAAAGTGAGAAAGTACCAAAGTGACATCTTGCAAAGTATAAGACTATGTGTTAAGACTCGATTTGAAGAGTTGCTATTCAACTTTAAGGTAAATTGAAGTACTATTTTCTAAGTGGCAAGCAGAATTTAGCAGATTTAAAATAAGATTTCACTAATTGAAAAGACCATTCCCAAAAAGGTTTAAGAAAGTCATTCTTCCAATTATGCCGCAAATTTCACGAAGTATTAGTACATTGTAGTTCTATCATGTATGGTGTAGTATGGTTCTGCATTGTGTGACAGAAAATATCAAACGCCATTTTAATGTGATTACACTAAATTAAGTTTTACTCAAAACACCTGTGAGCAAAAATATGGCATCAGCCCTTTGAATTTAAGATAATATTGAATTAAAATTTAAAAACCTTCTCTGGTTAAAATATAATATAATTCCTAATTGGGTTGAACGGTCACTCTATTGACTCAAATAACGCCCATGTTATTGACAAGAGAAATAGAGGGGTTCACGCCCTCTGGGGCATTATATGGGTAATCAGGGCAAATTTACAAAGAAGCAAAGCCGTAAAACAAATGTTTTTCTTTATATTTCCATTCTGATTTCACATTTGGAGACGAAACATATACTGTTGACAGAGAAACCCCTTTTCTATGTTTGCTAGCTGTTTTGAGCCGATGGAGTGATTGTTGTGGGTGTAGGAATTTTTTTCACGGTTAAAACCGAATGATTTGATCAAGTCTTAGCCGCTCGAGCCACAAAAATAACGTCTCCGTTACTCTGATAAGTAGGCTAATGCCTAGCTCAATCGACTCAAAAACGTTAGTCAATGTGAAAAAAGGGGTTCTCTATTTACAGTAAAAGTCTCTTTTCGAAAATGAAACTCAGAACGGAAATATGAAGAAAAACGTATATTTTGCCGCTTTGTTTCTTTGCAATCTTGCCCTGATTACCCATGCATAATGTCCCTCAAAGCGTGAAGGAATCTATTCTTTACATCAAAACAAACTTGAACGTGCAGCGCTTTTTCACTTCAGTGATCTACCTTAATTCTTGGCTCGCCGTTTCCTGATTTTCTAACTTGTTGTTCGTTCTCAGACTAAATTAAGTGATCTGATTCAGGGCATAAAAAGCCGATAGCTATAGGCACACGCAGTTTTCGAATTTCGCCACGTCACATCACTGTGCGATCCTACCCTCTGGCTACGCCCTATACCCCTCCCGGGCGTTCTAAGGGCTGATTGTGACAGCACAGCTTTACCGTTTATAATAAATCAAGTCTACCACTTTGAAAACAAGTTACAGGTTTTACTGATACGAAATAATTCGTGTTGGGTTGTTAGTCGTAAGCTCGTAGCGTGCCGTAAAGCTGTCAAAATTGGTTCGTAGAGGTTTATTTTATGCTTGTGAGAGTTGTGGCACAGGATAAAGACAATAAACGAGCCAAACTGGACTAAACCAGTTTGTTACCAGGACGGAGTTACAACAAGTACGAGTACTTGCCTTACTACTTGTGGACTTCAGATTACCACTAAATCACCCAGTCTGATCTGCTACCTTCCAAAGAAGTTGATTTGAAATGATTTTAATTAACTCTTATCACATTTGCACAAGCCTTCAACCTGATACCAGGAGCATGAAACATCCCTGGACCAGAATTGACACACCTCCAGTCTAAGGATCATTTGCATTCCAACATAAGGATCATTAAAAAAAAATTAAAATTTTTACTACAAATTTATAATTAAGACATTCTGACTAACAACATATGTAAAACTATTTTCCATACTCAACTATACACTTATAAACATAATAAACTATGCACACTATTAAAAAATACTCGATAACTCTATAACTCTATTTTCTATCTATAAGAATTTATTATATGGTTTGCTTTGGCCGTGACTCTGTCTCAGTCCATAAACACTCAAAAAAAGAACTTGGGAAATATCCAGCCATCTTACCCTCACGCTTGGTCAATAACCCATATTTATTATATGGCTAGCTCTGTGAGTGGGCAAGAGGAACTAAATCCTGCACTGCTATTGGCTACCATAGAGGGAAAGATGGCACTATCTTGCCCACTCGGGACTACCCACTGTGTCTCTGAGAAAAATTTCCCAAAAGCCATACAGTAAATCCTTTATTGACCAAACTTGTTCAGTCAAGATAGCTGGATATTGAGCTCATTCTTTTTTTGCAAATTTATGGACCTTGACTCCATCTCCATGCATATACCCACAAAAAATACAATGAGGCCATTACCCAGCCATGTATGACATGGCATAAAGTTGGGACATGGATTATGTGCGCAGATAGCAATTGTGCCACAACAATGGGCGTGAACATCCATAAACTTCTCCATCGACTTCTCTATTTACTGAATTTAAAAATAAATGAAGCTATATAATCTGGGTTCCTTTAGACAATGTAAAAATAACTACACAACTTAAGTTATTCCTGCACAAAAAAAAATGGTGACTGAGACCACTGTGCAGCGAAAGTCTCGTCTGATAAGCGCACTGTCATTTATTACCTTAGAGCACCCACCAGTCCGCTCCTGAGGCATATTTGTCTGCATGCACTGATGAAATTCCCAGATTGATAATCAGTTAAGTCTCAGACTTTCAAAACAAAACATTCAGTTACTGTAGTACTGCTTTAAGCATTTTAACTAACTTATGAAAATATATATAATAATGTCGCGATTTATGAAAAAGGTGTCAAAATTGGTGCAAAACTTTTTTGCCAGTCCTTTTCAGCACTTGAAAACTCCGGGGGTGGGGGACTTCCACCAAGGAGGGTAGTGGCAGAGAGCCCAGGGTGCTGACTACCAGCTGGTACTGAGCTGGGCCCCAAGGGCCATAACTCAGGGGGGTGGGGGGTCACAGAGAGAGGCATTTTTGGCTGAAAAACTGGTCATTTTCTTTGCAGGACAGTCTTGGCTGACAGTGCTGCACAGGCTTAGTGCTGGCAGCCAGCCAGCAACACACAAGAAAGGTGAGTGAGTAGGCTCTGTGATGACAGACTGCTTGTGTTTGATTGACTGAAAGAGCCGTGTATTTTCTTGGAAAAGAGACAGGCTGAGTGTTCTGTTGAAATTAACTACGGTTTTCATAAATCCAGACATATATGCAAGCTAGTACATGACTATACATATTAGTAAGATAACACCTACACTACACATTGTAATATTCATTGCCACAGTGACCCATAAACATAAAAAATGTACGCAGTATACTTGTCTCCTGGACGTTAAAATATTAGCTGCTCACTATGCATACAAGTACAAAAGAAGTGACATGCTTTGCACATGAATTACAAAACTAAATTTGAGTAAAAACAGGCTGGTTAATGCATTTAAAATTCTCAACTGAAAAGTTTTACCTCTTTGTAAACTCCTATTTAATCAACTCACACAACAATATTTTTTTCCTAAATCATTGCGACCCATCACAGAACTAGTTAAGGCATTGTACAAAATCTGGTAAGTTGCCTGATTGTCCCTTGTTTCCTTCCAGTGCAGCAACATCTGCATTGCCTTTTCATATGCATCCTGTCGGTGGTCTACATCCAACTGAGAAAGCTTTGACTCTTTAAGTTTTAACTCACGCCCAAGTTTCTTCCAAAATGAACTAACATCACTTGCCAGCTCATGCAATTCATTATCCTCAGGTATGCCTGGTTTGACCAGAACTAAAAATAAAAACAAAGACACAGTGTATCAGTATAAGTTTAAGTTCCTCATAAATTTGACTTTGCTGCTGACAAGCAATCTTCGAGTGCATTCCTTTGGGTTGATCTTGGTCAGAATCAGGATCAACTTAAGGATACGTGTATCTTGGTTCCTTTAATACACCATCATCCAAGTGATATTGGATTAGGGTGGAGGGGGACTCCCTTAACAGGCTATATAGGTATGTGCAGCCCCAAAGACTGGGCCAATCATGTTTCCATATAATATTTCGTATTATTAAGCAACCAACTGATGTAAGCACAATTGTACTGTTGCAGGGTTTTTGTCTCCATATTATGCCCTAGACCTTCTGCCAAAGATCAGTGCTCACCAAATTTCCAGAGTGTTCTTTGTCTGGGATCTTAGATTTCAGAACTCTTTTGAACTAGTTTAAACCAAGTAACAGAAGTCAATGAGTACTAAGAAAACCATTAATAGTGTGTGCAGTACAGCTGTGGGTGGGCTTATAACAGGTCAAGCCATTATTAATATCACTCTTAAATAACCCACCATTTCTGTTGGCTCCAATTGGTGCCTTTCCATACTCATTTGATGAATCTCTGCTACAGTCTGTCATAGAATCTGTGCTGTCTTCTTCACCCCCTAAAAACAGAAAACAATGTTTACTTCATAAGTACATGTCAAAACTTTTTTTTTTTTGAAAAAAAGGCATCAGTCCTCTAAACAGCTTAATTTTCAATAAACAGATGCAATACATGTATTTTCAAATAAGTCATACTTCACATCAGCCTTATTGGGAATATCTCCTTCTTTGAAGGTTTATCTGCATGTGTTCAATGAGTATGACTTTGTATGTCTACATCTACAGCCTAATCTGAACAGTAAAGAAAATGGGTCATGTAGTTTGATCCTTACTAGTATTACAACAAAATTCTCTGGCCACATTATTGAGCCCAACTCTCACATGACACAAGGCATGGTAGAGGTCTTCATAAGGTGTAAGCGAAGTTGTTGTATCTCTCCAGCGAAGTAACATCCGATATGGTTTTTTTTTGGCATTAGCAGCTATTTCATCCAAGACATCCTGAATAATACCAAGGTGAATTCCCAGTGTATCCCACTTTGCACTGATCTTCCCTGCTAGTACATCTAGCTCACATTCACTTGGTTTGCCTTCTTTAAAAGCAACTTCTCAGTATATATGAAAGAGGAGAAACTTGCAGTTAACCAAGATGCAATTTTGTTACATGTCAAAGTTATATAAACATCATCTACTTAGCAAAACATGAAGTTTATCCTTAGCTTAAGGCATCTAGTGCAGCTCGATTTACCATGCACCATTATATACAATCAACTAATAAAATGTAAACTTGAAAATTAAGTTTCCCACTCATTTGGCCGTTCTTCCCAACCATTATTTCTTTTTTGAAGTTGGTTACACGTTTTCATACTTTCAGAACAAGTCAATTTACATTCACGTTCATGCAGATTTCACTTAAAAACTAAGAACACTACAGAAATTTACAGCTGGGACAAGTTATCAGAAATTACCTGGAGGACTGAAAAACTTTATAGTGGATTTACATATTTTTTATAAGCCCCTAAGGGCTTTTAATTACTGTTTGCTTTGCCCTGTTGATATTGAAATTAATCATCTACACACAATATTGACAAAAAGAGAGTCAGAATAATAACATACTGCAATGTAGAATATATTCCTTGATTCTTTGAAGAGGGGGACATTTGGGGGTTCTGAACTGTGACTGCAATATCACCCAAAAAATATGGCAAATACCGCAACATTGCAAAAAAAAATTGCCAAATACCGCAATACTTCAGTACCAAGTCGAAACTCAATGTCATACCGAAACCACCACTCTTGGTCTGTATGTTAAGTTTAGAGCAAAGAACAGGAAAACAGCAAGTCAGAATTTGTTGATGAACGTTTAGTCAGGCAATTTTAGATTTAGACAAAATANATTACCTGGAGGACTGAAAAACTTTATAGTGGATTTACATATTTTTTATAAGCCCCTAAGGGCTTTTAATTACTGTTTGCTTTGCCCTGTTGATATTGAAATTAATCATCTACATGCAATATTGACAAAAATAGAGTCAGAATAATAACATACTGCAATGTAGAATATATTCCTTGATTCTTTGAAGAGGGGGACATTTAGGGGTTCTGAACTGTGACTGTAATATCACCCAAAAACTATGGCAAATACCACAACATTGCAAAAAAAATTGCCAAATACCGCAATATTTCAGTACCAAGTCGAAACTCAATGTCATACCAAAACCACTACTCTAGGTCTGTATGTTAAGTTTAGAGCAAAAAACAGGAAAACAGCAAGTCAGAATTTGTTGATGAACGTTTAGTCAGGCAATTTTAGATTTAGACAAAATAAGCAAAATAAGTAACATCCATTGACGCGTTCGCTACTAATTAACAAAAAATAACTTACCCTTTTATGACTGCAACTCAAGGAATTGTGGCAGTTAAAGTTACAATGAGAGCTAACTAAGTTTTGTTGGGAATGTCCAATCGGAAACTGGAAAAGGCTTAGAAAACATTGGTGAACTTGGAGGATAATTTTTTAATATACCATCTAAAATGCTAAAAATACCAAAACACTGCATTTCGACATTAAAATTACCAAAACTGTCCAATACCGCACTACAGCAAACCCTTATGTCCCCCGCTTTGAGATAAGGAAGATTCATTTGATTGCTTAGTGATACGACTGATGTTAAAAATGAGTGACATTCTTTTCAGAGCTTTGTAATTTATTGTCATAAAAGTAAAAGAAAGAATTGATGAGTAATGTTTGAAACACAGGATTAACCCTTCTAAATAGAATATATTTTTGCATATTCTTTCCTATGATATGTTTCATACTTTTGTTAAATAAATATAATTATTGTAATTCATTAAGTCCATGTTTTTCTTTATTACTGGTAAACATGAGAATTATGCTGGCACATTTGACAATCATTGTTTTGAAAACTTGTATCTATACTTTAAACGCAAGCTGTGTGTACGGTGTGGGGATAACATTGTAAAAATACCACAGCAAATAAAAGCATAGCATGACAATGACTGATAATGATGAAATAAAAGACAGATTACCTTACATAGAAGTTAAAAATTGTTTTAGTTAGTGTCTTTAAATTTCACTTTTATTTTCTTGGCTTTGGAACTAATTTACATGGGGAAAGAAATACATATAATGATTTTAAATTACTTAATATCAACTCAAATTAATTTCCCACCTGAGCAAGAAAACAGAACTACTGGAAGTCACGTATGTGAACTTCCTCTCCTAAGCAAGTTTTGCCAGCCTTAAAATCTTTACTCTAAATGGCTCTTATGTAAGAGTAGGCATATATTTTTAATGACTTAACCTAAATTCACTTAATACATGGAGCTTCTGGGAAGTATTTTTTTACAAGTGTAACTTCCACAACAAACCGTGCTGAAAATTGATGATAATACTTACAAAAGTGCCATGTATATGATGATGAAACACCATCATGAATTCCTAAGTCACAAATTGACTTACAGTAGAACCCTGGGGTGGATCTAGGGAGGTTTGGGGGGTTTGGTCGAGCCCCCTAAATTATAAAACTAAGACACTCTAACACGCTGGAAATCTTGATTCCAACGACCTCAATTTTAAAAATTCTCCGGGGGAGGATGCCCATAGAACCCCCTATAGGGGCCAGCCTTCTGCCGTCTGTATCTGAAACCCCCTTCTCTAAAATCCTGTAACCGCCCCAGGAACCCCATTAAGCAGCCACCCTTGGTGGAAATTTAAGGAAGCCTCTTAACAATTGGTTGGCCATGTTTACATGGAGGGAGGGTGCTCTGCCTCACCAACTTTTCATAGGTATTTATATGCATATATCTAAACAGGGCACCCTGTCTACTTGCCCAAGGCACTCTTCTGGGCAGACTATCTTGCCTTAATGCCATGTAAAATATGAGGTCAGAAAACTGCAAAAGTAGTGTTTTAATCTAAGGCAGCTTTTAACATTTAAACTGTCTGTGGTCACTACGCTGTAGTGTATTGCTTCCAAAAAGGTACTTTTTTCCACAATCTTGTTTGTTTTGTTAGCCGGCCGCTCAAAAGATAGCCCACTGACTATATATCGTGCTTAGGTGAGTTGAATGTAAAGAGCCAGGTATCCCAGTTAGCCGGGGCAACCTGCCTCCATGTATACACTGGGCTTTAGGCAACATGGAATCATATGGAATCTCGTGAAAACAAATTATAAACATGTCTTTGTTTTTGTCGGTTTTCGCCGTTAGCTTCACGGGTAAAATGATCTCAGACCGTACGCGTTAGTTAACTTAGGAAACCAATAAAACTCCTTTGTCATAAAGTAGGCTAACAACTTGTTCAGTATAAAGCATTCATTTCTATTACATAGGAAAGGCTCTTCTCACCTTTAGCCATAGTTCTTTGGCGAAAATCATCCCATTCCATCCGACTTCACAGCAACAGCTAGCATATCATACAAACTGTAATACAGAATTCACTTCAGTCGGAGGTCTTCCATGAGTCCCAGGGCTGGAGGATCTCGAGGAATCAGCATTGGATAGGATCCTGGGAACGAGGTTGTTACTGTGGTAACTGAAAAGGGGTCTCCAGGCATCTGTCACCGGGGTATGTCCCGGGGTTGGGGCATTTGATCGCGCCATTTTTGCCCTGAGAGATGGGAATTTGACCAACAAAGAATTCGAAATGTCTAATGCCCGGTGAGTAACCTGCGTCGCAGACGCAAAACCGTCTGCGAATTAGTGCACAAACACAATTCCTTGTCTGGGACCCCCAACGAACTACCAGGATCTGAGTAGTCGTGTGTGATTGGTCTCTTAACAAAGCAATTGTTTAACTGGCGATAAATCGCTCTCGTTGGGTAAGGAAATCTCCCGCTGTCTATAACCGGAAATAATGCGAGCTAGCGAGGAGAAGTAGAATGCTGCTTTTTAAGAGTAAAATCTCAGTTGGAAGTGACCGATCTTCTCCCTGATCATTCTTCTAAAGGAAATTTTTCTTTTCAACTTACCCACTGGCTTGGAAAGTCCTTGATATTTCAATGCCTTTCGATCATCGCGGACATCGCAGATGACAAACCCCAAGCGTTGCAACGACGCCTGTTTGAGCGTCGTTGTTGTTACCTGGCGGCTGCGACCGCTGATGAAGGACTAAGTTCGGTACTCCAAGTCTTGGACTAATTCGGGTACCGTAAATCCTCGAATTAGCCTCCCTCCCCCCTCGAATAAGCGCCCC